GAGCCTTTATGAGCTTCTTCAGAAACTTCTTCATCTATATGAGCTTCAAAAGTTGGATCAGCTTCGAGCCCACCAACTTCCAAATATTTGGTAGCTTCTGAACCACCCGCTTCTGAAGTGTCTTCAGATACATTAGTTTATGATAAATGTTTAACTAGCTCTGAAATTTTATTGTCAGACTCTTTGTCAACAAATTTGACGTGTATTGAATCTTTAACCATTTTGATTTTAGAGTTACACACTCTGTATGCCTTTGAGTGTTAAGAGTTTCCTAAGAAGATACCCTTTTGACCTTTGGAATCAAATTTATTTTGATATAATTTTGTTGTTTAAGATGTAAAATATACATCCAAACTGATGAAAATAAGAAATACTTGGATTTCTTTCTTTGAAAAGCTCAAATGAAGTTTTGTTCATAATAAGTCTAATATAGACTATGTTCTAAACTTAACATGTTGTGTTTACAGCTTCTGCCGACAAGTACTTATGTAAATTATTTTCATGAATCATGGTTCTGGAGATTTCTTGTAGAGGTATATTCTTTCTCTCTACGACTCCATTTTGTTATGGAGTTCTAGGAGAAGAGAACTCATGGAGAATTCCATGTTTTTCATAAAAGATTTCAAATGGCTCATTTTCAAATTCCCCTCCATGATTACTTCTAACTTTTTAAACCTTTGATTCCTTTTCATTTTGTACTTGTATATAGAAGATGCCAAACACATCATACAATTCATCTGTAGTTCTAAGGAATTTTACACAAGTCCATATGTTATAGTCATCAACTATGACTAATCCATATTTCTTCCCATTGATTGATGCAGTACCAACTGGACCAAATAAATCATTGTGAAGTAGTTCCAAAAGTCGGTAGGTGGAGACATTTTTCACGGTTTAAAAAGAGGATTTATTATTTTCCCTACTTGGCATGCTCCACAAAGAGAACCTGAGTGATAACTAAGTTCTGGAAAAGCTTTGACAAATTTTAACTTGCTACGTTTAGAGATTAATCTCCAGTTAGCATGTCATAACCTTCTGTTCCATGTCCATTTTTCATCACTCAATGATAAAAGACAAAGTACCTTCTGATCAGCTAATTCAAAGAAATTAATTTTGTAGACATTGTCTTTTCTCCTACCTTTGAACAATATGGACTTATCCGACCCATTCATGACTATACATTTGTTCTTATTAAACATTACTTCATTACCACTGTCATAAAGTTTGCTAATGCTAAGTAGGTTATACTCAATAGTCCTGAAAGGATTTTTATTATTTTGTACCTTAGCTTTCTTGAAGTAGGGCTTGGGATTATTCAAGACTCTTGGTTTAAAATATTAGTGTCTTAAATCAATCTTAGAATTTGGTTGTGAACCTTTCAGAACCTTAGACTCTGATGTATCAAGTTTGAGTCTTCTCAGAACTTTTGGTTTTGGAGTCTTTGGTTTTGGTTTCTTCAGAGCCTTTGACTTTGAATCCTTTGGTTCTGATTTCTTCAGAACCTTTGACTCTACAGTCTTTGGTTCTGACTGGTTCAAAACCTTTGCTTTGTCAGCAGCTGGTACAAAAGTATTAATATAGCCCTTTCTGAGCAGAGCTTGAAAAAGAATATTTCATTGGTTTAACCAAAGTTTCTAATCTTTGATTGAAAGATTTTTGTGAAAAACCAATGCCCTCTCCTTTGTTCCTTCTTACACTATAAATCATAGATGCAAGTTTTGGCCTATCAAATCTATTTATGACAAATTACTGAAGAGAAACTTCATGCTCAAATGGAGATTTGGCAGACATATTTTCCACTTAAGCAATATGACTTTTTTCTAAAACTTCATTTCTAATTTGAAAAGATTTTAATTCATTCATTACTAGCTCATATTTCTTTTTCCAAATTTTGATGTCTCTGGCTTTATCTTGACAATGATCCATAAGGTCTTGAATAAGATTAATTAAATTAGAACAAGATAGTTTAGAAAATACCTTTTAGTCTTCTCCAGAATCAGAACAGAGTTTGAATCAGATTCTTTGTCTGAAGATGTTAGAGCCATTAGAGTTAAATTGGCTTCTTCCTCATCTTTTTCAGATTTTTCTTCTTTGTCAAGTTCATCCCATTTAGCCAAGAGACTCTTCTTGACTTTGTTTTTGAAGTTGTCCTTATGATAGCTTCTGTTAATACCATGGTTTTATGATTGGCTAAATTTTTCCAAAAACATGGTTTGCCATAACAGGTTTGCTGTTATGTGATTTTCAGCAAGATGTCAAAGATAATGTCACGACATCTTGGTCTAGTGCAACAAGTGCTGCTGTTTGGTTTATTCTTGACTGATTTAAATTTATTATGTGATATTCCTTTTGGTTTATGTCATTGATTTTTTACAGGTCAAGGATATTTAAATCTGGAACAAATAATTTATCTCTAGCTGTACACGGGTTGCGTTAATTGGTTGACTGAGACTAATTAGAAAACCTTGTGTTTTTGCTCCAAGATTCAAGGAGATTTTCCTTCACAGATTTATGTATCCCTCAGTGTAGACAACAATGAATATTTGGGCGCAAATGCAAGTCTCAAGGATGGATGAGGAGTATTTAAAGAAACTACATAGACCTAATATCATTAAGAACTTTGAAAAATAAGGGGAAACCATGTTTTCTAGGTCTTAGGGTTCTTCAAGGGAGTTTCCTGTTTTTCTTTGTACGTACTCGTGTATCTTTTGATGTATTTGAGTTGACTGATTGTTACTTGACAATTTGTCAAGTTATTGTTCTCACTCTTAAGCTTTTAAGAAATATGTCATACCCCATTTTTTACCCATAATTTATTCATTCATAACATCATATAATTTACATCATAAATCTTTCATTCATTTTAGATCTATAAGCATGTGATTAAAAGACTCTTGGTATTAGGATTCTTCTTATGGATTGAGGTTGCCACCTCTCTCAAGTTGATTCCATTGGCTCATTAATCTATCTTGGTATAAAATCAAAGTTTTGGATCTACAAGCATCATGGATATTTTCCTTAACAAGATTCCTCAAGATGCAAAGTTTTCTTGATTAGAATTTTCTTCGAAGAACAAGTGCATTGAGGCTTAACTTGCGTGCTTATGATTCCATCATGACTCCATTGAGGGTGTTCTTGAGTTTGAATTTTTTTTCCTCTCACCATCTCAAGTCACTTCACCTATGTGCACTCAATACCCAAAGAATTATGGTTTCTCCTATGTTATGTCTAAACATTGGTGTTGGTTATTCAACAATGGTTCATTGTACTAGGTTCTCTCTTCAAAGCTACAAGGCCAATCATTCTTTCTTCATTGCAAGTTCATCATCATTTAGGGTTTATCCTAATTGCTTTATCCATAAAACTTTCTTTCTCAAGAAGTTTGGAGGATCAAATCAAGTTTCTCTTCTTGAGATATTTCTCAAATGGTTAAAGAATGTTTGAGGCTTTCACCAAGTCAGGATGTCCTTTGTTGATAAGTTATGGATTTGGATTTCATCAAATTCATTGATCCAGCATGGCATAAAAGTTGAGTTTGTGAATTCTTAATGAACAAAGTCTTGTTGCCTATTCAATTACTTATAAACTTGCAAGTTGTTTTAGATTTGAATTGAAGATTGAGAGCTAAGGTTGAAAGATTCATGCTAGTGGCTTACTTGAAATGATATTTACAAGTGATAAATTTAAAGTATAATCCAATTCCAAGTTTAGTCAAATGGACCGTTGAGAATTGGAATTACAAAGGTCTTCATCATTTCTCATACATGTATCGTTCCAAGATTAAAGTTGCAAAATTGAAGAAAGGACTTGGAAATTCAAACATGAAGAGAGTAGAATTTAGAACCAAGTTTTGTTCATTAATGTCTCAAACTACATTTAAATATATTCATATATTCATTTCTAAATATAAATAGTCGTCTTTACATGATACAAAAGAAGAAAAAAAACTTAAACTTGTAGCTTGTTCCTTGCTTTCCTTATCCAAATCTCAATGTTCACAAAGAGATTGCATCAAAATCGTGTTGTGCTGCCTTGCTGAACTGTTTTTTTTAAAACTTGTAAAACAATACCGAAACAAACCAAAATCATGACTTTAATATAAACAAATAAGGCCCTTGCATCTGATAAACTATTTACACATCATAAGAACCAAAAAACCATTCAAGTGATAAAACCAGTTCGGTCCGTCAATAAACCAGTTCATCAAACTTTGACCTGCATAATAAACCAGGAGAATGCAAAAGAAGGGAAGGTTATCATAACCGTGGAAAAATCAGGGAGAAAATTATCAGGAAAAAGAAAATTATGGAAAGGAAATCAGAAGAACACAAAAACATTCCAGCTCAACATTAAACTCAGATAACCGAATTTTTAGAAATTTAGATTAACATTACAAAATGATATCAGAATCCATCCCATCCACTCATATGATAACTAACTATCAAAGATTCAATGGTTCAGATTGAATCAGGGCTTCATTCACAAATCTGAAGAGGAGAAAAAACGATTTTCACTTCTGCAAAAAACTTCTCAGAGAAGCTTCAGCGTTCTCTCTGAAATTCTCTGAGGCTCCAACGATTCAATTCACCAAAAACTTCAAAATCTTCAAATCTTCAACAACACCATGAACCACTGCATAAAATGTGAACCTCTTCTTCATATTAATCTCCCTTGTAACGTCATCATGATTGAACTTCATCCACCTTATGCTTTAATAATCTTCATCAATGTAACATCACACTACAACATTCAACATAAGATTTAGCATTTTCGAAGCGCCATCGAAGCGTCTCCGATCGGTAAAATTCGAACTCTCTATCCTCTTCATATTAGCTTTGTGTTGTGAACTCTATGAATCTGTTTGCATTGATTTTATTTGGATCTGCTTGCGGTGATTTTGTTCGGATCCGCTTGCGATGAAATTGAAACGAATTGCTTCATAAATTTTGAATAGAAGAACGTTGAACAAATTTTGAGCAAAATGAAGTCGAAGAAGATCCATGGAGCAAAGTAGACGGAAGCTTCGAAGATTAAAGCCGCGGTGTAGGGAGGTCGAAGCAGAAGCAATTGAGCACGGAGAAGAGAGGTTGATTCGGAAGCGTAAAGCTGAGGCGAAGAAGCCAGACGGTGGTCTTATGGAGGCGTCATGTTGGACAAATCAGAGTGAGAACGGAGAAGATGGAGTCGCTGTGACGAAGTCGAGCGCATACGACGGATGTTGAGTTCGCGACGCTGCAATGAGACAGAGCTGCAGTGATTTGGATAATGGATCGGACCAAATCGTTGGGCCTAACCTTATACACTCTTTCTTTGGCCCTTTACCATTGTTTTTGGAGCCTAAAGGTATTGCACACAAAAATGCTTCACGGACCTTTCTTCAGATGGGCCTAGCACCTAACTTTTGAACCACTACACCTGATTCAGAACTTTAAACCCACTGTTTCATTAATTTCTTTCTATTTTATGCTTATTTTCCATTTTAGTTATTTTAATCAATTGATTTGTGATATATTCTTCATGAGCTTGTTAATTTTCTTTACATAATAAAAATGAAAAAAATACTAGAATAGAATTTTATTTCTTTTAGTTAATTGTTTGATTGATAATTGCCATGTTCCTCTTAGGAATGCCATGAAATAATTAAGTCCTCTTTGAACGTTTTGTTTTAGACTCTAAGTTTGAAACATTGGCCTGATAACATTTTAGGGTAGAATTTCTCCTTTAAATTCAACCTTAGGACCATTTGTGATATTCTCCCAATAAAATACTCTAACTCATTCAAATCATCTTGTGCCTTTTGTGCACTTTTCTATTTAAAAATTTTCTCCCTCCTTTTCAAAAATCTTCTTGTTTTCTAAACTTGAATTGCTTTCGTAATAAACTTGGACTTAGGTCCATGAATTTTCAAAAATTATCCTTCTTAATCAAATTTTAACCAACTTAATCATACTTCGACATATTTATGAGAAGACTTAAAGTCAATCAATCTCATTCAAACTATTTTGCCACTTCGGCTTTTTACCTTTAAAATTTTCTCAAAAGATTAGACTCTTGTCAATCTTTGTAGTGATACGAGCTACTATACTTCTACGATATATAGTGAAGCGAGATATTTTTCACTTAGGTGTTAAGCGAGGCTTTGTTGATTTTAAAATCTAAGCTATATCCTCCACTTTGAGATGACACAAATTTTCCTTTCTCTTAATCGTGGGTAGTAAGTATGTTCTTCCACTCAGATAAGACGATGATGTCTCGTTTCTTAAAATTAACCAACACACATGTGTTTTAAATTTTTTTAAAGGTGAGCTACTAGTACCCTGATCCCCTATTGCACAGAAGGTAGTACGCAGGCACTAAAGGTTCACAACCGTGGCGGATGAAAAAAATGTAAAAAATACTTCTTTTTCTCATCCCCACAATCTATTTTTGTATACAACTCTTATTGCTAAAATACACATATTTTCAAAGAGGTTCCTACGGAGTACCGTAGATGTTTAGGGTGCTAATACCTTCCCTTTACATAACCAACCCCGAGCTTAGATTCTCTCCCCCTCTTTTTGGGTTATTCGCTCTTTTCCCATTCCTTCAGAAACAATAAAGTGTGGTGGAGATTTTTATTTTGATCTGTGCGAGTCAAGTCAATTCAATGGCTTAGTCTCAACATTTCTACCACTACACAAGAGTTTAAGTATTGTGATTGAAGTGTAAACTTCAGTTTTGTTTTGGTTTCAAGTCGCTATGATTATGGCTTGATTATAGACTGTCATTGGGATTGGGTAAGTCTTTTATCAGTGCGGTTATTGGAAGTGAGAGGGGTTCTCATATCTAGGAGGTGCTTAGCTAGAAGTTGCATTGGATAGTGATTAAGTGATAAGTTGTAAACTGGGATTGTTTAGCTTAGAATTAATACTGTTGATAGTGGATTTCCTTCATGGCTTTGTAGCCCCTAGAGTAGGGGAGTTTTCATCGAACTGGGTTAACGACTCTCTGTTTTATTTTACCTTTTGCACTTTATAATTCTACATTTTAATTTTTGTAAAATTGTATGTTTTGTCAGTAGATGTCATAATTTCTCTCGTGACATTGTGCTTGTGTGTTGAGATATCATTCTTAACATTTATATTGCATGTTCCAGAATTTCAGCTTCCTTTCTTTAATTTATCCTTCTGCAACTATGGGCAGTCAGAAATGAAGTGACTAGGCTTCTTACATTTGAAGCATACCTTCTGGTCATCTTTCTTGTCTCTTGAATGTGATCCCCTAAAGCCACTAATTATTCCTGAGGACATTATATTCTTCTATTTACCATGAGATTTAGTAAACAAGCGTTAGTCTTCCAAAAGGTTACTTGCAGGATCGACTAGATGATCCTAGGACATATGTGCATAATGTTTTCTAGAGTTTGTATGATTTTGTGTAAAAAGGAAAATATTTTGATGTAGGAAAAATCTTGAAAGTAAAATAAAGGAAATAAAGTAAAGATGCGGGAACTGTAGAAAGGCTTCGACAAAGGTCAAAGTTAAAAGAACTGAAAGTAAATGCAGAAAAGTTATTTTAATGTAAAAGACTTTGCATTAAATGAAAATGGTGTTTGCATACATACATTACACTTGATCAAACTCGTTTCTCACTTCACTCTGATATTTTGAGTCTATTGAGTTTTGTAGTAAATGTAACACTCTGAAATTGAATACCATAATCTCTATTTATAATGAAATCTAAATAACTGCAACGAACTGTCCTTTCTTCGGAAATTAACACGTCTTTGTTTTCATGTGTTTCACCTTCAAACTTGTTTCCACGCGTCCTTCAATTGTATATAAGGCCAAAAAATAGTTATTTAGCCATGCTCCACATTCCAAGTGAATCTGTCAAAATGATCTTCATTTTGCTCTAAAAATTGCTAAGTCCCAAATAACTGCTGCTTGCATAGGAACTTCAACGTATTCATTAAAACAATCACGTTGAAAACTCTCAAACATGTATGTCGAAAAACACCAATAGAATCATCCAAATTCTACTACGTGCTTCTTCAATCTTATTCTTTATATGTTGAGATTTATGGTATGTCGAAAATCCCAGCTAACAAATTTCCCCGCAAAAATGTCACATTCGACCAACAGAAGAAAGGGGATTTTTTTTAACACTTCGATGTTGTAACCAACACAGTACTGGCGTCATGGTTATAATGACCAATTTTGTCAAACTTCATTTCGAGGCATGCGAAATTCAGAAAAGCCAATCATGGCTCATATTTTCAATGAACGTGGGCCATGGATAAACCATTTGTTTGACTAAATCTTTGAGTGGGATACATGTGTCCCACGATTTAAATCCAAATGTCAACAAAGAACTTGAACAATTTTCTTTTGTCTTCTATAAATTCCTCATTTTCTCTTATTTCTTCTTTTTTCTCCTTTCATCTTCTCATCTTCTTTAAACTCTATGAGTTTTCTTCCCAAAAAACGCAAAAAAAAACTCTTTTTCTCTAAATCTCCTACCATTTTCCCCATGGTTGCTTCCAAGTCAAAGAACTCTAATGATTCCAAGAGCTCAAATAAATCTTTACCTCATATTACTAAGATTTTAGGTCCAATAATCTCTGGTAACCAAGAAAATGTTTGTTAGTTCCATGTTTTCATGGTTGGCTAAATTTTGGCTAGGCATGTTTCTGAACATGGTTTTGTGTTATTGTTGAATAATATGTTGCAATATCTGTATCAACTGTCATAACACTTTTACTGTTATGTGTTTTCAGTAAGATATCAAAGGAAGATGCCAAGACATCTTGATCTGGTTCTGCAATACAATAGACACTACTATTTTTAAATTTTGACAAATTTGATTTGATTCTGGAATATTTCTTTTGGACATGTTTCAATTAATTTCGTAGGTTAAGAAGATTTTCTATGGAACAAGGTTTTATATCTCTAGCTTTGTATTAGTTACTAAATTGGATCCTTGAGACAATTTAGGAAACTTTGTATTGGTTGTTCCAAGATTTAAGGAGATTTTGATCCATAACAGATACAACTCTGAACTTGTGGATCAAGAAACTTCTGGACTCAGAATATTGAAGCCCATGGATTGAAGAAGTGTATTTAAAGAGAAGACCTAAACCTAAAGTGCCAACTTTTATCTTTCAACAATTGTAAAAATAGGGGAAGAAAATAGTCTTAGGTTTTGAGAGTTTCTTGTGTATTGTGTAGGTGTTTGTCACCCTTGTATCTTTCGATATATGTGGTTGACTTATTGTTCTACTAAAAGATGTGAAGTAAGAGTGGATATGGTTCTTGGAGGAAGCTTTTAAGCAACTCTAATTATTGTTCTTGGTTAAGAGTCTTGACTAAGTATTTGTAATTTGGAAGTGTGATCTTCCTATTTTATTTGTTCAAGTTGATGTGACTGTAACTTATTGATAGACATCCCCTGTAACTGGGATAGGTCTTTTATCACTACGATGATTGGAAGTGGGGTGGTGATTTCTCATATCTAGGGAGGACCTAAGTAGAAGTAGCATTGGGTAAGGATTAGGAAATAAGTTGTAAACGGGGGAGTTTAGCTTTAAACTAATATTGCTGATTATGGACTTTCTTCTTGGCTTGGTAGCCCACAGAGTAGGTGATGTTGCACCAAACTGGGTTAACATATTGATGTGTTATTTTTTATCCTTGTGCAGCTTATGTTTTTATTATAAATATGTTCAGGATGTCAGATCAGTTGTTGCAACATCTTTCTTGACATTGTTCTGACGTTGGAATTGTAATATTTTTGTGTGTCGCCTGGACCAGAAGAATTTCAATTGGTACCAGAGTAGGAACCCTGGTTCATTGGGTGAGCTTTAGGGAGTAATTTTCCGGGTACTATTATTCCTTGTGGAAGACTAGAATGATTATGTTCTGGTTATTAATGGACATTTGATTTTAAAGAATTATCAGGATAATAGATTCTTGATTCTTAAGAGATTGAAGAGTAGAGCATGAGTTGTCTCTATGTAACTTTGAAGGTGTTAATTTCATAGTAAATGGAATTGACAAGTTTCTTTTTTATACTCTTTATCATAGGTGGCCAAAGATTCTTTGGAAATTCTCAAGTCCACTCCTAAAGGAATCTTAGTGACTAATCAAGAAGAAGATACTCAGGTCTCCATTCAAGAGATTTGACATGGAAGTTACAACTATTAAAAAAAAGAGCATAGCTTTTCTTTCCAACATTGTACAAG